ACACACACACACAACCACACACCACACACACACAAACACACACAAACACACACACACACACGCACGCACGCACGCACGCACGCACACACGCACACACACACGACACGCACACGCACACGCACACGCACACGCACACGCACACACACACACACACGCACGCACACACGCACACGCACACACACACAGACACACACACACACACACACACACCAAGCCAGCGCCCGAGCTGCAGAGTCGAACTTGCCGACGGGAGTGTCAGAGCAGGCGCTCTGGGGGCGGCGGCCCCTGGCCCGGCTCAGAGCCAACCTGGTGGCCCTCGGCCAGAGCGGGGCCAAGCGCCCTTGGGCCAAGCGCCAAGATTGCATCTGCTGTGGGGGCAGGAGGAGGAGGAGGAGGAGGAGGAGGAGGAGGAGGAGGAGGAAGAGGAGGAGGAGGAGGAGGAGGAGGAGGATAGGGAGGAGCGGCCACACCCCTGGAACACACCGCTGCCCACCGCCACGACTCGGAGAGCCTGCGGCACAAGGCTCCACCGAGCCGCAGGGACAGTCGTCGGGGCTCCGAGCGCCTCGTCCATGCTGGCGCTCATCCCTGGCGCGACTCACCGGCTACGAGGCGGCCGGCTGGGCGCGGGACCTGGCCAGCACCGCGGCCCGCTTCTGCGCTGGGAGGCGCTGAGGTCAGCATGAACATGCACTGTCGGAAGTGCGCGCGGATCCTCGGATCTGCGCTGGGCTCCCGCTGACACCGCCCCCAGCGCAGCCCTTGGCGCGCTCATCGCGCCGGGAGGGGGGTCCAGCGCCGACCCTAGAAACCCGCGCGGGCTTCCGATAGCTTATGTCTACGTCGTGTTCTCCCTCCTCCTCCTCCTCCTCCACCTCCTCCTCCTCCTCCTCCTCCTCCTCCTCCTCCTCCTCCTCCACTGGGACGTGGGTGGGGAGCAGACTCTCTCTCTCTCTCTCTCTCTCTCTCTCTCTCCTCGTCACCTCTCGCGTGAGGGAGGTCCGCCGCAGCAGGCCCCCTCCCGGGAGATCCCCCCCCCCCAAGGGCGGATCCCACGCTCACCGCCTCCTGGCGGCCTGCTGCGGCAGGTCGCACGGGTCTGGCGGGAGGGGCCAGGGGGGATCCTTTCTGTGCCCTGCCGTTGGCCCCATCATGCCCAGCGCCTTGTCGTCGAGCAGTGAGGGATGAGCCCTGGCAGGTGGGGGTCGGCCTCCCTCCTGAGGCCCGCCCCCTCCTCCCTCGGCATGGCGCTCGAGTGATGTAGCCTGGAAGCCGTCCACGACTCCACGAGGCTCTGGCCAAGGGCCTGGCCAAGTAGGCGCTCTCCGAGGCCCCGTCCCCGCGGGACCCGCAGTCTGCCTTCGGGCTACCAGCCAGCAGCCTCCCTCCCACCCGCACGCACCGTCCCATCCCATCCCCTCCCTCCCATCCCCTCTCTCCCACCCCCATCCCTCCCATCCCCGCCCTCCCCTCCCATCGCCGCGCCGTCCCTCCCCCTCCCCCCCTTCCCATCTCATCCGCCCCGTCCCCATCTGCCCCCTCCACTCTCCACTTCCCGTCCCCCTCCCCTCTCCCCTCCTCCCGTCCCCCTCCCCTCTCCCCTCCTCCCGGCCCCCTGCCCTCTCCCCTCCCGTCCCTCCTCCCTCCCCGCCCTCGCCCTCCCCCGCCCCCTGCCCGCGAGCCCCGCCGCCCGCCGCCGCTCCCCTCGGTCGCTCCAGCCCGCCCGGGCTCCCGCGCCCCCCATTAGTGCCCGCCCCCCCGCCCCCGCCCCCCCCCCCTCGTGCCCCTCCTCCTCTTCCTTCCATGTCCTCCTCCGTCCTCGTCTCGTCGTCCTCGTCGTCCTCGTCGTCCTCCTCCTCCTCCTCCTCCTCCTCCTCCTCGTCCTCCTCGTCCTCCTCGTCCTCCTCGTCCTCCTCGTCCTCCTCGTCCTAGTCATTGTCCTCGTCCTTGTCCTCGTCCTTGTCCTCGTCCTTGTCCTCGTCCTTGTCCTCGTCCTCTTCGTTGTTCTCCTCCTCGCCCTCGTCCTCCACAGGGCCGCCCGCACGCCTGGCGGCCCTCCCCGCCGCCCCCCCGATCCCCCTCTCGCCTCCTGCGGCCCCCGCCGCAGCGGCTGTGCACAAGATTTCACCGCTCGGCACCACGCGGTGCACTCGCGGCGAGTCACTGCGGCCCAACGGCTCCCAGGCGGGCCCCCCACGCGCTTCGCAGGGGCGTCGTTTGCACCCGCGAGGGATCGCCCAGGGTGGGCGGCAGGTAAAAAGTAAGGTAGCAGCGCTTCTGGGAAGGAAGGGGGATGAGGCGAGCAGAGGAGGGAGGGAGGATCAGGGCCCGCCCAAACGGGAACTTGGGCAACTGATGATCCAGGACGCTGGCGCGCCCGAGAGAACTGCAGCCGTGGGGCCGCGGCATTTTCCAGTCTCCGCTCTCTCCAGATGGAATGCTCAAAGCCCTGGTCAACAGCGTCCTGGCCTGCTGGGGGCCCAGAGAGCACAGCACAGGACGGGCGCCAGGTGAATCCCGCAGGATGGCTCCGCCAGGAGCTCGGCGGGGGCGCCGGAGCGCCCACGCCGAACTCCCGGAGGGGCCGGGGGAGGGAGGGAGGGGAGGGGAGGTCGGAAAGGTGGAGGATGGAGGATGAGGTTCAGGAGGAGGGGGGATCCTCTGGGAGCCCCTACTACTGCGCAGGGGTCCCCGGGACTCACTTGGGCATCCTTGATGGTAACTCCGATGAACATCCTCGGGGCGGATCCCCCAGGGCACCCTTGGGATCCACGAGGACATGCTGGAGGAGAGCAGGGCATCACGAGAGCAGGGCGCACATCCGTGATATGTGCATCCGCGCGAGGCTGGAGCGACGCGGAGTATAGGCGGCGCGGGCGGCGCGGGGCTCTGCCGGGGAGGCCAGCCCCGCACGGAGCGCTGCGCTGCCAAGAAGACCCTCCCCCATCCCCACCTCCACAGGACGATGAGGAGGAGGAGGAGGAGGAGGAGGAGGAGGAGGAGGAGGAGGAGGAGGAGGAGGAGGAGGAGGAGGAGGAGGAGGAGGAGGAGGAGAAGCTAGCAGGAGACTCTACGTAGGGTGTTCTAGCGGGCTTTAGGGTTTGTAGGGGAACCAAGGGGGGAGAGACAATGAAGTGGATGGGTAGGATGATTAAGAGGAGGAGGAGGAGGAGGAGGAGGAGGAGGAGGGGAGGAGGAGAGAAGAAGGAGGAGATCAGGACTGAGGAATGAGGAGGAGGAGGAGGAGGAGGAGGAGGAGGAGGAGGAGGAGGAGGAGGATCAGGACTGAGGAATGAGGAGGAAGAGAGGAGGGGAGGATGAGGATGAGGATGAGGATGATGATGATGATGAATGATGATGAGATGGAGGAGGAGGAGGAGAGGAAGGAGGAGGAGGAGGAGAGGAGGAGGGGGAGGGGGAGGAGGGGGAGGAGGGAGGAGGAGGAGGAGGAGGAGGAGGAGGAGGGAGGAGGAGGAGAGGAGAGGAGAGGATCAGGAATGAGGAATGAGGAGGAGGAGGAGGAGGAGGGAGGAGGAGGAGGAGGAGGAGGAAGGGGGAGGGGGAGGGGAGGGGGAGGGGGAGGAGGAGAGGAGGAGGAGGAGGAGGAGGAGGAGGAGGAGGAGGAGGAAGAGGATGAGCACAATACCTGCAGCGGATGGCATGCCGTCGGCGCTTGGCCGAGGCAAGACAATGGAGGCGCGGAGCAGGGGCTGGGTGGACGTCGCTTCAAACAAAAGCCGCAAGAATACATGAAGTACTTTGCGCACAAAGAATATTATACGAAGGAAGAGGTCGCTACAAACAATGTCGCGATGGCTCCGGAAAATGCGCCGCTTCAAGGAACGCCGCAGGGGATCCCAGATGACGCGCGTTCGATAGATACTTCACTCCAATGGACGTCGCCCCGAAGGGCGTCACCAGAACATTCGGTCCTGAGCGGTGGGACAAACCAGAAATCAGAGCAGGGCGAATTGAGACAACGGCCGCTCAAAACATCGATCTGGGCGCCCTCGAGGGCGCGAAGTTATTCGCGCTTCGCGCTTCGCGGTTCGGCTCCGATTCCTCCTCCTCCTCCTCCTCCTCCTCCTCCTCCTCCTCTTCTCCCCTGGGAGGCGGCGCGAGAGCGCGAAGTCATTCGCACTCCGCGCTTCGCGCAGCGCGCAGCGCGAAGTTGGGAGCCCCTGCCTCATGGGGTCCGCCCGCGCCGATTTTCGGAGCCGCGTCCAGCCGTTTCGGCGCGGGGCCCTCCCCGAAGCTCACGTGCCGCTGTCTCGACCCGCCCTCCTCTGCAGAAGTGCTGGGCACGCCAAACCGCGCGCCCCACGAAGCAAAGACCATTCGGGCCGCCCTCGGCGGCTTCGGACGCCCGAAATGGGTACTGGAACAAAAATGGGTGCACGCAGGTCGGAAGAAGTAGGTAAGAACATGAAGTAGGAAGGCGGATCAAGTAGATTGGGTTCAGAACCTCCCAGAGAACAACAAACCACATAAAAAAGTATCGGTTCTTGAAGTAGGAAGGCGCTTGAAGTAGATTGGGATCTGGGAAGCCAGAAATACCTACTTTCAACGACCGGCGTGTACGATGTCCAACAAAAAAATGTTGTCCAACACCGACGGCGGCCGCTGCTGGGCAGGCGGCCTTCTGCATCAGACTTAACAGTGCCCGCGGCGGCATGGACAGCGAACCCGGTCCAACATCAACAGGACATGCTTAGGAAGGCACCAACTATACACCAACACCGATCCTGGCCAGGATCGGTGTTGGTGTATAGTTGGTGCCCCCCGAATGCTGTCGATTTTCGCACCCATTCTCGCCGCACCCGCTTCGACCGCACCCGCGCGGTGGCCGCGCCTGCGCGGGTCTCTGCCCGCGCCCGCCGGCCGTCGCGCGATCGCGCCCCCTCGCAGGCCCGCGCCCGCACGGGACCCGCCGCGGCTGCGCCGGGGGGTCGGGCCGCCGCCGCCGCCCGGGCGGAGCGCCGAGGACTGCAGTGAAGAAGCGGGCGTTCTGTGATTTCTTCTGCTTGAACCGAGCCCTTCTTCTGCTTCTGCTTGTTGTTTTTCTTCTTCTCCATGTGTGTCCCCTTCGTGCTATTCTTGTTCTTACTGTTCTTATGATGCTGTGTGTATGTTTGCTCTCATGCTTCTTCTCGCTCTTCTTTGAGCGGGCGGGCCTTCTCAGAAGGCGGGGTTTCTCCAGAGGCCCTCTGGCCCTCGGGGGAGCCCCCTGCGGCCGCGGAGAAGGCTCGGAGAGCTTCTCGGGACCCCTCCGGCCCTCCGAGGAGCCCCCCCTTCGCAGGCCTCCCGAGCCCTCCGAGGAAGGCTCGCCCCCTCCGCCGTCCTCCCCGGGCGCGCCGCGGGGCCGCCGCTGGCCTCGGTCGCCCCCCTCCCCACGAATGCGGTCCCGACGACTCCTCCCTCCTCTGTCCTCAAGAGAAGCCTCGCGGCTGCCCCCTCCCCCCTGCCGGGGTCGCTACCCCCCCATCCGCCCCTCCGTTCCCCCCGCTCGTTCCCCCTGCTGCTGTTCGTCCTCGTCCTCCTCCCTCCTCGTCCTCCTTGTCCTCCTGTTCATCCTCCTGCTCATCAGCCACCTCCTCCTCCTCCTCCTCCTCCTCCTCCTCCTCCTCCTCCTCCTCGTTCTTCCTCCTCCTCCTCCTCCCTCCTCCTCGTCTTCCTCCTCCTCCTCCTCCTCCTCCTCCTCCTCCTCCTCCTCCTCCTCCGCTCCCAGAGACAACAGCGCAATATGAGGCGATGTATGGAAGGTAGGGGTGGAGTGTCAGATATGGCGCGGGCGCACCTAGCTTGCTCGTTCCCCCCTCTCCCCTCCCCTCCCCTCCCCTCCCCTCCCCCCTCTTTCGTTCCCTCCTCTCCCCCCCCAGGCCTGCACGCGGCTTCTCCCTGGGGGTGGCCCTCGTGGCACCCCCTCCCGCGGCGAGGAGCAATGGACCGCCCTCCCACCTGCCCCCAGGTCGCCCTCCCCTCCCTCATCCTCCATTTCCCTCTCGTTCCCTCCTCTCTCCTCTCCTCTCGCTTCACGCTTGCCCTGCAGGTCGAATGCGCGCGGCATCACCAGAAGCCGGTGGCGGGGGCTGCGCTCGACAGACAGAAATGCTTTGACGACCTCGTCCTTGACGCCTGTCCCACCTGGCCCTGCACGCGGGGCGCCCTCGGGGCGACCATGCGTGCGAGGCGAAACTTCTGCGACAAGCATCGCCGCTGCACCCGCATGGGGAAAGCCAGCTCCCCGCCCCTGCGGTGCACGAGCGGGCACCCTGCAAGGCAGCTCCTCTTCCCTCGGCGACGCCGAGCTCCTCGCGCGCGTCTAGGCAGAGCGCCAGCGCAGGCGCGCGCCGAGATCGTGCGACACCGCCCCTGTCGAGGACAGCAGCTCCGCGGCCCCTTCAGCCGTGGAGCTCCAGACGTCTCCTGGCCAGCCTGTCCTCCTCGACCAGCTGCTCGGGTGAGAACATCCACCCAGGCAGCCATCGCGGGAGAGCTCAGACGCTGGGTCGCGGATCTCCACCTCCACGAGCACCCGCTGAGAACTCACCGCTCGTATCAGCCTAGAAACAGCCGCTGATGCCAGGGTTAAGAGGGCCATCGAGTGCCTTCCCCGCATCGGACGCCTCCCTGCAGGCACCCAACTAAGGGCTCGATCCGCCTGCTCCCTCATCGCCAGCGCGTGCACCACAGGCGCGGATGGATAAGCACCAAGCGACCTTGACACCAACACTGCCTCTGCGGCCATCAGGTCCAAAGGGCGCTCCTGGACCTCGCATTGGGCACTCGACGATTTTTAGCGGCCTCTGGCCATATGATCGAATTAGGCGCCATCGCTCAAATAGAAACGCTCCTTGGGCTCAGCAAGGAGACGCCGAAAGACATCACAACAAGTCGCTCTACGGCCATGCGCGGGTCTTCCAAGGGGGCGGCCCCGCCGGCAAAGCGTGGCAAAGCTCGAGTGGGCATGTCCGCAATTTGCCACCATGTATGACGGCTGCGGAACGCGCCTATCCTGGCTCCAGCTCCCAGCCAGCCTTTTCGCCCACATGCTCCAGGCCCCTCGGCGGAGAACCGTTCACCGACGCATCCCGACGACCAGGCGTGACCTCGGAACCGTGGCCGCTGTCAAACGGGGCCTCGATAATTTCGCCAACACCTGAATTCTCAGGACCGAAGGCATTTCCAAATGCGCGGAGTGGCAACTCGCGCTCCTCTGCAATTATCTCTGCGGTGGTGGCCACGCCCGACAGAGGAAGGTCAAAGCTGGCATCTCGGCCAACCCATCACCCCTGCGCAGGCGGTGCGACCAAGAGAAACAAATCCAATAGCGCACCCCTGCTGGACTAACCAGAGGACCACCCTCAAGACTCAAGACCATGATCACCGAGCAGCAATGGCAGGATCCCCCACCACACGCCAGGCACTGCGGTCTCGTAGAGGAGGACTCCACCTTGCAAGGGAAGGCGAGATCCCACAGCCCAGCCCGATATTGCCCCAGGAGGACGCTGACGACGACGACTACAAACATGCACCGACGAACATGGCGCCTTAGGTGCCCCGATACGCAACACGCAACACGTAGCGTATTGACACGGAGCTCAACACGTAGACCGAACACGCGTGTCTGGCGCGGAACGTTCGCCCAAACGTGGGCCAATACGCCGAGCCAACCCGCAACCTATTGACACGGACATTTCAAACACGGTGCGCGTTGCGTCTCAAAACGGGCGTATCGAGGCAGCTAAGCATGGCGCCCGATGTGTCCACGCCGCCATTGACGGTGCCCGCACAGATCACGCCCACCAGCTCCTTGCCAGGGCGGGCGCTACGGCTGAACGGCCCGTGCACGGCCTCGTGGACAAATACATAGCTGTGGTTGACGGTTTCGGACACTTCCTCGGGGGTAAACCGCCACAGCGCCCAGGACCACAATCGGACCTCTGGGAACAAATCCGCCAGGTGCTTCTGGGAAAAAACTGATCTTTCCAAAATCCCCCAAAAAAGACAGACACCTCGCAGAGCAAGGTATCAACGATGGCCACATCATGCCCATCGTGAAAGCCTTCAACCAGCATGCCGACGAAATCGCTACTGCGGGTGCACGGGTTACACAGCATCCTACCAAACGTGGGCGATGCTGCAAGATGACGCCATAACTTCGCCGCGGTCCTACACACCACGGCCGCCGCCGTGTACGACCAGCCAGGGACACCGCACGCGCCCTCGGCCCCACAAGCGAAGAGGATGCTCCAGGGCAGAGCTCGCCCAAATGGAAATGAACCCGCTCCCCACCCGTCAGGGAGGGCATGGTACTGGCGCACAAGGAGGACCACCACCTCCCGCGGCTGAACCACCATGTCCAGAATACTTCGATGAACTCGACGACCCCTGGCTCCATCGCTCCCACACATGGACGACTTCGCCGCTGACGATCTCGACCCCCTCGGTCTCGGGGCTTCACCCGATAGCAACGACGACTACGTTCACCACAACCGACACGCCATACTGACAACGTCCACACGGCCAAAGGACACACCGACGTGAGTGGTACCATTCCGTCCACCGTGTCCCTGACCAACAAGACACGACTGTCGCCCAAGCCCCCCAACAAGGCACACTTCCCAACACGGCCCAGCAGGGGCCCGTGGGCAGGAACGCGGGCAGCAGCATGCAGAACTCGAGACCACGCTCACTGCTTGCACTCAAGCACTTCATCAGCGCGTCAACGAGTTGGTGACCTCTCTCCAAAAGATCCAAGAGCAATCGGCACCGCTGATCGACAAGTTCCATCGGGCACAAGAAGCCTGGAGGCTTACACAGCGGGCCTTCCGCCGGGGACCACCGTTCATGGTAATCTGCAAGCCCTCTTCTGCTCCCAAATACGGCGCACCAATGCGAGCCTCCTTCCACGCGGGCCGCGAAAACAGTTGGCACCTGTTCCGTTGTCTGCTTCTCCTGTACCGCTGCGGGGGATGCCCCAAAGCGGCGCCTCTTTTCGCAGGGCGCCGAGGCGCGTACGCCAACACGCGCTCAAAGCTGGCGCCTCCCTCCGCACGGTGGCGCAGACGAGCCCCTGTGGGGTCTGATCGCCACAAGCCGTCCTCTATTCCCAGTCGGGGACCCCATTAGTCCGCGCCAGGGGGGAGGGCATCCCACCACTCCCGTGTAGCAAGCGGCGCCTCCCGCCATGTGGGGCGGGCCCGCTGGGCACGCGTGGCCCTGGGGCCCGGACGACGTTGCCGTCCGATGTGGTGCGCTCTCCGTTCCCCTCTCTCGCTCCTTCCCCTCTTCTCCTTCCTTCCCCACCCCCTCCTTCCCCGCTCTGTCCCCCCCCCGGCCCGCACACGGCCTCGCCGCGGAGGCGGCCCTCGTGGCCCCCCCTTTTCGTGGCGAGGGGCGGGGGGCCCGCCCTCCCCGAGGGAGGCTCCCCCCGCTGGACTGCGCCGCCGCGCTCAGTCGCCCCCGGAGTGCTCGCTCTCGTGCTCGCTGTCCTGAGGGGATCAGGAAAGATGGCCCGAACGGCGTCGACGACCCACGCGATGTCTCGGAGGCCTCCGGAGGTCTCCGTGCGGAGGTCTCCGGAGGTCTCCGTGCGGTGGTCTCTGGAGGTCTCTCGGGTTCGCCAGCTGCTCTCCCCCTCTCGAGGCCTCCGAAGGCCCTCGGGGGCCCTCGAACGCTGAGCCCCCCCCGACCTGGACCTCCAGCGCCCTTCTCATAACGGTGGCTTGCGCTGAGGGGCGCCCGCTTGTCTTCCGAGGAGGAGGACGAGGAGGAGGACGAGGAGGGAGGAGCAGGAGGAGGAGGAGGAGGAGGAGGAGGAGGAGGAGGGAGGAGGAGGAGGAGGAGGAGGAGAGAGAGGAGGAGGAGGAGGTAGGGGGAGGAGGAGGAGGAGGAGGAGGATAGGAGAGGAGAGTAGGGGAGGATGAGGAGGAGGAGGAGGAGGGGAGAGGAGGAGGTAGGGAGGGAGGGAGGAGGAGTCTTCCCGCAGAGTGGGCCGGGTCCGGCGAGGCTTCGCCACGTGGCGGCCCGCGGCCGCCTCGCGGCCGCCCCCAGCCTGCACCGCGCATGGCTTGCACCACCGAGCTTACACCACACAGCTTGCACCGCATAGCTTTGTGCACAGCCGCAGCGCAACAGCCTGGCAGTACTTTCCTGCCTGGGGCCCGCGCTGGCCGCAAAACGAACAAATGGTGGGGGCCCTCGTCCGGCCGCGGGACCGTCAAACGACGGCCCAGGATGCAAGGCTGGCCCTGGGGCGTGGGGACCACGCATTGAACAGCTCGATCCATCGGATCTCTGGGAAGGAAAGGAGGTCCCTGCGACCCGGGCGTTGCAACTCTTCCACCCCGAGCGTCTTCGCCCAGTTTCGGGCCCTGGCGCCATCACAGATCGATCCAACTCGAAAGATGCCGCGGGAATCGGGGAGGCCTGGGGTCTCAGGGTCCGGTCGCGACTCTTCGTGGAATCGCAACATCTTCGCAACGTGACCAGCTCGGGGGGGGAAACGTCGACCTGGAATCGGCGAGGCATCGCCGATAGATCGGCGATGGGCCCTCGGTGGCACAGCCGCACGGCCCCGGGCACAGCCATGGTGCTAATTACCGCAAGGCGCGCAAGCGAAGAAAGCAGCGGAGGCGGAAGCGGAAGCCGCGGTGCGGGGGTCGCCCGCGCCCGGGCCCCTGGAGGGCGGTCGGGCTCGCTGGACAAGCAACTGCGCAACCCAAACCCCCGACGTAATGATTTTTTCATTACGTCGACCCCCTGAGGTCCCGACCCTTTCCCCATGACCGGCTTTGCATCCTGAGTCGTTTTTTGACGCTCCCGAGGCCCGGTAAGGGCCCTCAGAGGCCGAAAATAGCGAAAAACCTCCCGTCGTGATTTTTTCATGACTCGAGGAGGTCTGGGACTGCGCAAGAGTCCAGTCAGGGATCGGTCGGGCTCGCTGGAAAGGTGCGCAAGAGGGAGCAAGCAGCGCACTGCTCCTCGGGCCACGGCGAGCCCAGGCCACGAGCAGGCTCCGGCGACCCGGAGACCCGAGCCCCTCCCAGAGCCCCTCCAGAGCCCCTCCACACCTCCTCCTCCTCCTCCTCCTCCTCCTCCTCCCCTCCTCCTCCTTCCTTCTCCTCCCTCCATTCCCTCCTCCTCCTCCTCCTCCCTCCTCCGCCTCCGCCATCTCCCTCCTCCTCCCTCAGCTCCTCCTCCTCTCCTCTCCTCATCTTCCTCCCTCTCCCCCTCCTCTCCACCTTTCCTCTCCTCCTCCTCCTCCCCTCTCCTCCTCCTCCTCCATTTCCTCCATCTCCTCCTCCTCCTCCTCCTCCTCCTCGCCCTGCTCCTCTTCCTGGAGCCCAGGATCGAAGGAAGAACGCCCCGGAGGCCAGAGCCCCCTCCAGGAGCCCAAGGGGCGGCCCTTGCCTCGGCGCCTCGACGGCAGCTCAGGGGGCCGCGGGGCGCCCGCTCTGCGCTCGGGGGGGCGTCTTTGCGGGGGGGGGGGGGGGCGAGCCCAGACAGGCGACGTCCTGATTTTTTCAGGGCGGCGTCCCTGGAAGTCCAGACCCTTTCCCTGGGGCCGGTGTTTCGACCTGACTCGTGTTTTGACGGTCCCGAGGCCCGGCGAGGGCCCCCAGGGTCCGAAAATAGCGAAAAACCTCCCGTCCTGATTTTTGTACGACGCCATCGTGTCTGGGAGGCCTCCGCCCAGGGCGTTGCCCCTGGCGTCCCTGCCGGAGCCGCTGCCCGAGGCGCCCAGGTTGCCGCTCCCGCCGGTGCCTGGGGAGCCGAGCACTTGCAACGTCGCCGCCGCCGTCGCCGTCGTCGTCGTCGTCGTCGTCGTCGTCGTCGTCGTCGTCGTCGTCGTCGTCGCCGTCGTCGCCGTCGTCGTCGTCGTCGCCGTCGTCGTCGTCGTCGTCGTCGTCGTCGTCGTCGTCGCCAGGGGCCTCGATCGCGCCATCTGGCTTGCCGCCCACCTCCCTGCGTGTACCGGCAAATCTGGGGTGGGTTTTCGCTCGGTCTGCGCTACGGCCCCCGATGGGCCGCAGCAACACGGAGGGGGCCGTGGGTGGGGTGGTGTCGTCTGCTCTTCGGTCGACCTCTTGCCCCCCTCCTCTGCTCGCTCTCCCCCGCTCTGGGCGTGCCGGCGCGACGATGGCATGACGGCCAACGCGTGCTCAGGCTGCAACTCCACCGGGAAAACCCGCGGGGGGAGGCCCCAGGAGGGGAGACCCGGCAGAGAGCGTGACAGGAGTCAGACCCTGGCTTCGAGCGGGCCGCGCCAGGGAGCGAGGCGCTGCAGCCTTAAGGCTCCCTGGCACAGGGGGGAGGGGGGGTGCAGTTGTAGACGAGCGCGTTCCACTGCTCGCAAAGGGACTGCTCGCAAATGGCCCGGATCCCCCGACGACAACCTCCTCCGGAGCAGGCGCGTGTCTTGCGGACGTTTGCGAGCAGGCACCCTGCGAGTATATAGTGGAGCGCGCTCGGTGACGTTCTCCTCCCGCCGGCGCCGGAGCCGCCAGTGCCGGAGGTCCTCGCGGGGGCGGGCGAGTAAAACAGGGCTAGGATCGGGATAAATCGCTCCAGAGCGTTCCGGTGCGCTCCTCTCAGAGCGTTCCGGAACGCTCTGGAACGGCCGCGGCGCCCAATACATCCTCCAAACCCGCCGATTCTCAGAGATTTCGAGTTATCCCGATCTGATTTTGTCCCGATCTTCGCGTCGTTTTAGCGAGGCCCCTGCTCCCTGCCCCCAGGCTCCCGCGGCGCGCCGAGGGAGCCCGGGGTCGGCGCCCAGCTCGCCGCGCGCGGCCCGTCCGGGGGCCCGGCGCTGGCGGGCCTCCATACGGCGCGCCTCGCCGCAGCGGCCCGCGTGGGGGCCGGGGGGGGGGGGCCCTGGCCGAGCTGCGGGGGCCGTCGGAGCAGCGAGGAGGCAGACCCCCTCGAGCAGTGAAAAAATCACGACGGGAGGTTTTTCCTAATTTTCGGCCTCCGGGGGCCCTCGCCGGGCCTCGGGAGCGTCAAACGACGAGTCAGGTCGAAAAACCGGCCCGGGGGAAAGGGATCGGGACTTCCAGGGACGCCGCCCTGAAAAAAACAGGACGTCGCATGTCTGGGGTCGGAGCAGCGAGGACCCAGACCCCCGACGTAATGATTTTTTCATTACGTCGACCCCCAGAGGTCCCGACCCTTTTCCCATGACCGGCTTTGCATCCTGAGCCGTTTTTTGACGCTCCCGAGGCCCGGTGAGGGCCCCCGGAGGCCGAAAATTGCGAAAAACCTCCCGTCATGTTTTTTTCATTACTCGAGGGGGTCTGGCTCAGGAGGGGGCGCATCGACCCCCCGTCGCCCACAGATCGGCGATGCAGGGCCCGAGAGCCCGCCACGCCCCGGGACGCGCGGACTGCGCGGACTTGCTTCGGGGGGGCCTCTGGGCGATGTGTCACCGACTCCGGCTCGACTCGAGGCCTCCCGGATGGGGTCCGCGCAGATGGGGTCGGAGGAGCGCGCCGCCTCGCCGACACAGTGGCGAGGCGGCTCGATGTGGCTCCCGTTTTCTCTTCCACGCCGAGGCCGCCTCGCAGGCGTCGCCCGTGCCCCATCGCCGGTGCATCGCCGACGCACCGCCGATGCGCCGGCAACGCATCGGCGATGCGGCGCGATCCTCCGACCCCGTCTGGGACCCAGAAAGGCGACGTCCTGATTTTTTCAGGGCGGCGTCCCTGGACGTCGATCGCGACCCTTTCCCCGGGGCCGGTTCTTCATCCCGACTCGTTTTTGGACGCCCCCGAGGCCCGGCGAGGGCCCTCCCGGGGCCGAAAGGAGCGAAAAACCGACCGTCCTGATTTCTGTACGACGCCATCCCAGACCCCCGACGCAATGATTTTTTCATTACGTCGACCCCCAGAGGTCCCGACCCTGTCCCCATGACCGGCTTCGCATCCTGAGCCGTTTTTTGACGCTCCCGAGGCCCGGTGAGGGCCCCCGGAGGCCGAAAATTAGGCAAAACCTCCCGTCATGATTTTTTCATTGCTCGAGGGGGTCTGGGATCGTGTCTGGGTCGCGTGCCGCCGACGGGGGCCCCACGTACAGGGAGGGGAGGGCACGGGGGGGGGCTCCCGAGGGCGCGCCGCGGCCGAGGGGCCCGGGCGTCGGACCTCGGGGAGTGCCCGCGCGCCGCTATCCCAGACCTCGGGCGTCGTTTTCCATCGTTTTCGGCCTCGAAAAAAATCGAAAAAATCGAAACAATCGTTTTCCATCGTTTTCCATCGAAAAAATCGTTTTCCATCGTTTTCCATCGAAAAAATCGAGACAAAGGTTTTCCATCGTTTTCGGCCTCTGGAGGCCCTCGCCGGGCCTCGGGGCAGTCCAAAAACGACTCGGGATGAAAAACCGGTCCCGGGGAAGTGGTCGGGAGGTCGGGGGCCCGTGTCTCGATAAAATCGAGACGTCGGATGTCTGGCTTCTGGCCCCTGGCCGGGCCCCGCCTGGCCGGCTCAGCGGGGGGCGGGCATCGCCACACCCTGACTCCAGATCCGCCCTACTTTGGCTTTTAATTTTCCCAACTCAAAACTGCGTCGGAAATCCACCGATCAGAAGCCGGGAAAGTAGGGCGGAAATGCCTGCACCCAGCACAAAGTAGGGGCGGAGATCCACAGAAGTAGGGCGGAAACAGCAGCAGAAAAGTAGGGCGGAAATCCCAGATCCCCGACGTCATGATTTTTTCATGACGCGACCCCCAGAGGTCCAGACCCATTCCCTGGGACCGGTTTTTCATCCCGAGTCGTTTTTTGACGGTCCCGAGGCCCGGTAAGGGCCCTCAGAGGCCGAAAATAGCGAAAAACCTCCCGTCGTGATTTTTTCATGACTCGAGGAGGTCTGGGGGGCTTGAAAAGAAGGGCGGAAATTCCAAGCCCTGCCTACGGATTTCCCCAAGGTAGGGCGGCTCCGGAGTCAGGGCATACAGAGAGGCGCCTCCCAGACGGGGTCGGAGGATCGCGCCTCAGACAGGATGGCGTCGTGAAAAAAATCGGGGCGGGAGGTTTTTCGCTACCTTCGGCCCCCGGGGGGGCCCTCGCCGGGCCTCGGGAGCGTCAAAAAAGGACTCGGGACGAGAAACCGGTCCTGGGGAAAGGATGGCGTCGTGAAAAAATCAGGACGGGAGGTTTTTCGCTACCTTCGGCCCCGGGGGGCCCTCGCCGGGCCTCGAGAGCGTCAAAAAAGGACTCGGGACGAGAAACTGGCCCCGGGGAAAGGGTCGGGACTTCTGGGGACGCCGTCCTGAAAAAATCAGGACGTCGCCTTTCTGGGTCCCAGACGGGGTCGGAGGATCGCGCCGCATCGCCGATGCGTTGCCGACGCATCGGCGGTGCGTCGGCGGTGCACCGGCGGTGGGGCACGGGCGACGCCTGCGATGCATGGGCGGCCTCGGCGTGGGAAGACAAAAACGAGGCGGCGCGCTCCTCCGACCCCATCTACGCTCGGGTCGGGCGAAAGGGGGGGATAGCAAAGGGGGGGTTTGAGAATCAGCTCACGTAGCTGATTTTCCCGGCGCCTCCCAGCGCCGGAGGCGGCCATGTATCGAGGAATGGGCCCCTCGGTGAGGCCGAAACCAGCTGCATGCAGCAAATTTCGTAACCCCCCCTTTCACAATCACCCCCTTTCGCCCGGCCCGATACGCGGACCCCATCTGGGAGGCCTCGAATCGAGCCGGAGTCCCAGACCCCCGACGTCATGATTTTTTCATGACGCGACCCCCAGAGGTCCAGACCCATTCCCCGGGACCGGTTTTTCATCCCGAGTCGTTTTTTGACGGTCCCGAGGCCTGGTAAGGGCCCTCAGAGGCCGAAAATAGCGAAAAACCTCCCGTCGTGATTTTTTCATGACTCGAGGAGGTCTGGGGTCGGTGACACATCGCCCAGAGGCCCCCCCGAAGCAAGTCCGCGCAGTCCGCGCAGTCCCGGGGCGTGGCGGGCTCCCGGGCGCCCAGCGCCGATCTGTGGGCGACGGGGGGTCGATGGTCGATGCGCCCCCCTCCTGAGCCAGACCCCCTCGAGTATCGGGTCGGGCGAAAGGGGGGGATAGCAAAGGGGGGGTTTGAGAATCAGCTCACGTAGCTGACTTTCCTGGCGCCTCCCGGCGCCGGGAGGCGGCTATGTATCGAGGAATGGGCCCCTCGGTGGGGCCGAAACCAGCTGCATGCAGCAGATTTCGTAACCCCCCCTTTCCCAATCCCCCCCCTTTCGCCCGACCCGAGAGTAATGAAAAAAACATGACGGGAGGTTTTTCGCAATTTTCGGCCTCCGGGGGCCCTCACCGGGCCTCGGGAGCGTCAAAAAACGGCTCAGGATGCAAAGCCGGTCATGGGAAAAGGGTCGGGACCTCTGGGGGTCGACGTAATGAAAAAATCATTACGTCGGGGGTCTGGGTGTGTGGGGCTGGGGCGAAGGCAAATTCGGGTTGCAAGGGAGATCGCTCCCCACGGCCCCCGGGAGGAGGCAGCGCGTCCCACAGGAGCCTCCATTTGGGGCCCCTTCCCCGGCCCCACCTGGGGAGAGAACCCTCCCTCTACGCAGCCCCGAGCCCTGGGCCCAGGGGACCCGTGCACGCGCCTCTCCGGCCAAGCCAGGGGAGCGCACGCGCCAGCCAGCCCGCCAACCCGGGCCCAGGACGGGCCCGGCCGCGGGCGGGGGGGGGGTGCAGAGGCCTCGTCCGCCCGAGTCCTGCCGCCCTTGCCGCCCTTCGCGTCGTCCCTGGAGCTCATGCGCTTCATGGCCTTCGCGATCAGCTTCTCCATCCGCTCGAAGCGGTCCTCCTCGTCGTTCGCCAGCAGGTCGTCCTCCGGCCACTGCGCCAGGACGGACGTGGAGCCGCCGAAGCGGCGGATCATGTCGAAGGTGGTGATCCGCCGACCCCCGCTTGCCAGGGGCGACAAGGCGTGCGAGATGCTCTGCTGTTCCCCTCCCTTCCCTGGGGTCCCCGAGGCGCCCCTAAGAAGCCCCAGGAAGCCTCCAAAAGGCCCCAAGGAGGCCTCCAAGAAGCCTGAGGCCTCCAAGAGAGCCCCAACAGGCCCCAAGAGCTCTCCCTATGATCCCGAGAGCCCTTTAAACAGCTCCTGGACGCCCGAAGAGGGCCCCAAGACGGTAGCCCCAAGAGAGGCCTAAGAGGCCCCCGAGCCGCCCGCAAGAGGCGCCAAGAAGGCTTCAAGGGGCCCCCAAGAGCCCCCCAAAGAGGCTACCCAGATGCATCCAAGAAACCCTCCAAAGCACCCCAGATGCCACAAAGAGGCCTCGAAGATGCCCCCGAGAAGCTTCTCAAGAGCTCTTCATGTGCATCCAAGGGGCTCCTGACCCACTAGATGCCTTCCACGATCGTCGCAAGCTCTCATTCATTCTGGGGGTCGGCGGAATGGTGCAAGCCACTTGAATATTGACGTTCGCCGCCTCGCGTACCTGGACGCCGCCCGCGAGCCCGATGTCGCCCTCCCCGAACTCGCAGCGCTCGTCCAGGAGCATCGAGTCCACGAACGCCCTCCAACGCTTCTCGGTGACCACCTGCATGGCCTCGGCCACGATCTTGCCGCGATTCAAGCGGGCGTACCCGACCATGTCCTGGTAGGTGGACTGGTACGCGCAGTTGAGCTGCGCTATGAGTAGGTTCAACAGGAACACCGCGCTCACGATCAGGTAGGCCACCACCGCGACCATGAGCATGGGCTCCCCCCTCATGATGTGGAAGCTCTCGCCGCTGTACATGCCCAGGGCTATCTTCAGCAGCGACAGCGCGGAGGTGGGGATCCCAGCGAAGTCCCCGTTCTCCTGCTCCAGCGCGCTGACCGCGCAGCTCCACGCCACGACCACGAAGCTCAGGCCGAACACGAAAAGGTACAGCTCCGAGAGCACCCGGTAGCAGACCAGCACGTACGCGGAGATCCTCGTGGAGAAGACCGAGAGATCGATGATGAGGCTGAAATACGTGAGGGTGGCGACCGTGCTCAGCTGCGAGAACACCATGGACTCGACGTCGGCCTGGGGGCAGTCCTGGGTGAACAGCCCGGCGCCCTCGAAGTCCTCGTCCTTGTGCGGGAAGCAGTGCAGGATGGGCTCGAGCGCGAGCATGGCCAGGAGCAACGCCGTCAGGAACAGGCTGGCCAGGTCCTGGTAGTTCTCGAGATACGCGGGGACGTGCACGTGGCCCAGCCGGATGAACGTCTTGCCGCGCACGTCGCGGCAGATGTTCTTGATGTGGTAGTACAGCCACTGCCCCAGGCTGAACACGTATATGAAGCCACGGCAACAGGCCACCGAGATGCGCTTCGTCTCGTCGTTGCTCTGGTGCTTGAGGCCGCCGGTGCCGACGATGAACACGCACAGCGTGACGAGCACCCACACCTTGTTCATCAGGAATGTCCGGTACGCGATGCGGCCCCACACGGTGTCCGTCACCATCGCCACGACTGGGTGGCACACAAGCTTAGGGTCGCCGTTCTCCGTGATCCACTCTACCGCCTGCGCGAAATCCCCGTTCGAATCCACCACGAGGTGCTTGATGTAGTAGTTGACGCGCCTGTTGCCGTTCTCCGTGGTGCGCGAGCGCCACACGAGTCCGTCCAAGAGCGCAGGCAGCAGCGCGGGGGCATCGACGCAGAGGCGCCTGACGATGTCCTCGTGGCGCTCGAACAGGGTGTCCAGCCCGTAGTAGTAGCGGTCCCGGTCCGCCCGTATCGTGAGGAGGTCCTGGATGATCGCCCTGGCGGCCTCGAGGCTGCCCGTCTCGATGGCCCAGAGCAGGGGCGAGATCGACTGGGTCCCGACCTGGATGTTGAGCATCCACATGGCGCGCTGGCCCCTCGGGGCCACGCCCACGGCCTTCCGGACCTGCGCGCCGCTGTTCATGTTGATGGCCTTCATGACTATGGTGGAGCCCTCCGTGATCACGCGCGTCAGGATGCGCGAGATGAGGCTGAGGGACCACCGGAAAGCCTCCTCGGCATTGTCGTCCTCGGTCAGGCCGCGGATGACCTGCACGCAGGCGGTGACGAACGGCCCGAAGAGCTCCGTGGGTATCCCGTAGCCGACGTGCCGCAGGCCGAGGGCGGAGATGTCCTCGACCATCTTCTTGGGGTCCTTGTAGATCTCCAGCGTCATGGAGACGATGCGGTCCGCGATGAAGTGGAGCCGCGTGGTCGACTGCTTGAAGTAGTCCTGGCCCGCGGGGGCCAGCGCGAAGAACTTGGAGTAGACCTCGCGGCGCACGAGGGCCTGGGCGGACTCGTCCAGGCCGGACCAGAGCCGCTCCAGGCTCTTCTCCCACTGCGCCGGCCTGCCCATCAGCGCCTTGAGCATGCGCTCCACGTTCTCCCAGAGCCAGGACCAGGCCACCTCGTGGTTCGAGTTCCAGTCCTTCGGCACCAGGGAGCGCAGGGAGGCCAGCATGACCGCCTTGTACTCCGAGAGGTTCACGGTGCCCCGGTACTTCGCGAGCCGCAGCGACAGCACGTCGCACTCCTCCTGCAGCCGGTACGAGTTGGAGACGTTCGTCACGATCGCGTCGAACGACGCGAGCACCTCGTTCATCCACACGTTCTGCCCAAAGCCCATGACGGCCGCGTTGAACGCGAACATCTCGTTGTACGTGGTCGGCACGGACGTGTTCCGGAAGCTGCTCCCGTCCGCCTCGCTCGAGTCCTTGGCCTTCCCGTGTCCCATGCCCTGCGCGCCCTTGTCGCCGCCTCCGCCCGAGAACCAGCCGCGGCCCCTCGTCTCCTTCTTCTTCCTGCCCTTCTTGCCGCCCCTGTCTTTCTCGGCCAGACTCTCCATCTTGGCCGCCTCCTCCTTCGGGGCGGCCTCGCCCGAGTGGGTGCCCTCGCCCTCCTTGCCCTCGCCCTCCTCGCCCTCGGCGTCCTCCGCCACGCCCTCGAGCTCGTCCTTCTTGTTGTTCGCCGTGGCCCAGCTGGAGGCCAGGATCCTGACGAGCATCGTTTGACCGATCGCCATCCCCTCTGGCATGGTCTTGGCCCGCTGACCGATCAGCCCCCCTAGATCGGTAGATATGCTGTTGCCTTCGGGCTCTGCGGGGCCTGTCCCCACTTGGGGGGGTGGGCTGGTGGGGCCGAGATACCGTAGTCCAGTGGGGATATGGATCGCTTCCGCCCTGAAGCCCGACGTTGCGACAAAAACGCGACATTGCGAAACATCCAGACTGGAGCCCTAGACTCCTTCTTGCGGCACCTTTCGAGCCCCATCCATCCGTGGTGGCCTGGGGCCCGGGCCCAGGCGAAAGCGCCCGGCGAGAAGGAATTGCAACGCCCAGATCCCAGCTTGGCTTTCGGGTCACAACTCTGGCCTCCGGCGCCCGTTCGGGACGATCCGAGCACCCCCAGAACGCACTCGGCGAGACGCAGCTGCTGGAAGGCATCCCGAATCCCGAGGCTGGACGAAAGCGTCCGAAAACCTCGACCCTCGAACCGCGAGGGGAGGACGAGGCTGGAACACCGCCGAATCGACGGGAGCGTCCGAAAACCTCGAGCCTCGCACCTCGAGGGACGGACGAACGGGCCTGACCTGAGGCGGTCGGTGTACTTCAGCCGGACGTAAATGTAGGCGCCGCCCGCGTAGTTCAGCATCGTGTCCCAGCCGCTGTGCGCGCTGCGGGTCAGCTGCCCGGCCAGCTCCACCTGCAGCAGGTCCACGATCGCGTCGCGGAACATGACGACGCGCGGTATGGTCACCTCGAGGCTGAGCTCGCTCTCACTCATTAGTCACGCCCTCTCACTCCCATTGTCATTATCATGTTTGTGTGTGTCTCTCTCTCTCTCTCTCTCTCCTTCTCCCCCTGTGTGTATATATATATATATATATCCACCACCGTGCCTGCGCGGAGTGGGTGTGTTGGAATGCTCCTGTGGTCCCTTTGAGGATGTTTTCAAATTTCCCCCCCTTCCCAGTCAGCACGCGTCCTTCGAAAACCGTCCCCCTGAAGTTGCTCCTCGGCGCTCTTGTCGGCCTCCAGACGGACAGAATGGCCTCCAAGACGGCTTTCAAGACAGCCTAGACGAAAATAAAACGGATCAAGATGGCCCAAGACAGCTCAACAGCCTCTCAAGCGAGCCTCAAGGCGAGCCTGAAGACGGCTCAAGATAGCCCAAGAGGGCCTCAAGACGGCCCAAGAGGCCCTCAAGACGGCCCGAGAGAGCTTCAAGAGGCCCTCCTGGAGAGCCCGATGGGGCCAAAGACATTTGTTTTATTTCTGGGGGATAGCGCATGTTACCCGGGGGGGGGGGCGTGGGAGGGGGGCAACGGTAACTGGGGCCGCGGCGCGCGCACCCTGAGGCGCGCCGCCTACGTCGTCGTCGTCGTCGTCGTCGTCGTCGTCGTCGTCGCCGCCCAAGCCCACAACGCCTGTGCACACAGCACGGGCTCTGTACAATGCCTTTGTGCACCAGGGCTGCCCGGGCCTCTACAGAAATCGTACGTGCGTGCACCGCGGCGACTGCGTACACCATCACAACCGCGTGTTACCACGACGCCTTTGTACATCGCGCGATCTGTGCACACCACGGCGCCTGCGTGCACCACAGTCACTGTTTCAACACCCCTTGAGCACCACAAAGCCTGCGCACACCGCAAAGTTCGTGTACGCCTGAAGGCAATACCGACGGGGCCAAGCTCCGGAAAATCGTCGGTGGCCCGAACGTATCAAAATCAATACCTGAGTTGATTGTGATTATTTGTCCTTCTGGTCCCAAGAAAAAACACCTCGTATACACACAACAACGCCGTTGCACACCTCAGCAACCGTCTGCACCGCAACGCCCGTGATTATGGACACCACAGCTGCTGTTTCAGCACCCTTCTGCGTGCACCACACTGCCTGCGTGTACCACAAGGTTTGCGTACACTTCCACGGTCCCGACGGAGCCAAAGTCAGGGAAAGTGCTGGGGGCCCGGATGTATCATATCGAATATTATGATATGATGGTGATTATTGTTTTTTCTGGCCCGAGGAACGCTTGGACATTTTGAGCCCACAGCGAATGTGAAACGCAACGGCTGTGTGCACGGAAATGAAGAGGGAGGAGGAGAAGGAAGAGGTGCGAAGATATGCGTGCGCCCATTACAGACCGTTGAATTTTTTTGAACCAGCGATAACCCGGGTTATCCGAGGAAACGGGGGGGAGGGGAAGGCCGGCCGATAATCTAACTTTCGCGCTGTGGACAGCCCTGCATATGCCCGCGCGCACTGGTGCTGCGGCCCCTAGAGCTGCCACCGATGCTGCCGCGATGCTACAATTGGTGCTGCGACGATGCGGGCCCCGTCTGAAACTTCCTAAGGATGTCACGACAGCTCGCATTGGAATACGCGGGATGCGGTTGCTAAGCGTGGCCGCGACGTCTTGTGCACACTATCTATAGCACACGCGTGCGCCACACTGCCTGTGAGTACTACAAAACATGCGTGCGCCACCACGGTCTTGCACACCACAGGTGCTGCTGCAGCAGAGGCTTCTGCGTGCTCCACAGCGCCTGTGTGCACTGCGGTGCTTGTGCACACCACAGGAACCGCGTGCACCGCAACGCATGGCGAACATTTGCGCCACAGCGCTTCCGTGCACCTCCAAGGTCCCGCCGGGGCTCAAATCTGGAAAACCCCCGGGGGCCCGGCCCGAATGTATCAAATTCGATTGGCCGACCATGTTTGTATACACCACAGCGCCTGTCTAGCGTGCGCCACGACGCCTTTGTGCACCACAGCTGCTTGCGTACACCGCAGCGCTTGTCTACGCAGTAATGTCTGTGTACACCACAGTGCCTGTGTACACTGCAGTAACCGTGTGCACCGCAGCGCCCGTGCATACACCACGCGCACGCACACTGCCTGTGTACACGACGACGCAGGCGGCGGATCGGCTGTGGAGGTGTGTCCCCATGTTGGTTCAAGTGTATGGGGTTCGCGCTTCCGCGTAGTGGAAATTGGTACCTTAACTTGTTTCCAAATCCGTCGTCAGTTGGAATATAAAGTGGCGTAGAGCCGGGGCGTATACGCCCTTCGCAATGGTCAGGCGGATGTCGCCCATAATGGATATTACGTGTCCGCTGAGGGCGTTCCCGCCTGCTTGCCAGTAGTCACGCTCTGACGTCGCAGTGGTGTCGGCGGCGTACCAAACCGTACCGTGGATAAATATTACGATAGACAGAGCTGACCACAACTCAATCGGGCCAGCTCCGCTACCACGTAAACAGCAGGATGAGGACCACGTAGTAAGAGGTTTGGGATATGGTGTAAGATGGTGTACCATCCAGGAGACTGATCGGGTCTCGTTTTAGGTACGATAGTGGGCCGCAAGATCCTCTAGCGGTCCAAGCATGTAGGGCGTCAGCACCTTGAGCCAGACGCCGGCGGCACGCTCGCTATGCTGGCTATACATATGTCTTTTGAACCCCCTATTCCAGAATATATTCGTATATGTCTACGCACATATGTATGTACATGTGTGTATAAATACTATAAATGATAATTGTGTGCGTTATACACTATAGTTTATATGTGTGTGTGAATCTATGTGTATGCATACATTCCTTTATGTATTTCTATAATCTGGGACCCCCCCCGCTAAACGGGTAACGGGACCCCCTCCGATCCTTAGCCCCGGGAGCACTGACGGTCCCCTGTGCTTTCTGGGGCTCATGAAGCCCCTGGGCCTAGGCAACAGGCCCACATCGGTAAGGAGGGCGGCCGAACGGCCCTGCGAGAGCCCACAAAGGCCCCAGACACCCACCAGACGCCCGAAGACGACCCAAAGAAGACCCAACGCAAAAACCATTGACTTGTTTTGTCTGATTTGGGGAATGCTTTGTTCTTCGGTCTTCCGAGACCGCCCAGGGGGCCAGAGAGTCGCCCTAAATTCAAGGCGGGCAAAATTTAAGCAAGAAGGGTTCCAGGCAGTCCAAGATGAGCCCCGAGACGGCTCAACAGGGCCCCAAGATGGCCCGAAGCGAGCCCCATGACGGCCCAAGGTGGCCCCAAGACGCCCCCCGAATCTTTCCAAATCGTGGCCCGGTCGTTCATGGAGACGGTGGTTCGAAGCAGGGTGGCCTGTGAAGCCCCCAGAGGCCCCCAGAAGGAACCTAGGAGGCCTCCAGACGGCCCCAACAGGCCTTTCAAAAACTGTCGTGAGGCCCCCAAGAGGCTCTCCTAGGATGAGCCTCCGCAAAAAGAGCTGCTGATGGCGGTGAATTTGCAGAGTGGGGCAAGAATGAGGGAAGAGGAGAGGAAGCATGCGGGAAGGATTACGAATAGCACCATGACAACGACGATACCAGAAAAGGCAACAACGAGTTATCGCTAAATGTTCAGATTTACCTAATTGCCCTCCTGTCTGCATGCCAAGCCTCGAGGGCCAAAGTACATGGCACGAAGCGCCGATGCAGTCTTGCATCTCTATATGCGTGTATCTCTATCAATGTATATATGTAGATCGCTATATACATATACATATACATACATATATATATATATATATAGATACCCTTCTCCCTTTCCCTCATTCTCTCTTTATACTCTTTGGGTTGGAACGGTGTAGAGATGTGTAGAGACATGGCAACCTCGAGGTCGAGGTGCTGGAAGCCGAGCGTCTCCACCACGATCTTGAGGGACCTCGGGTCGGTCAGCTGGCTGATGATCTGGTTGAGGCCGTTCATGAACCTGGGCGGCGCGCAAACGAGACTTGGGAGCTGGAGGCGTCCAAGAAGACCTCCCTCCTCGCCTTCGAAGGGAGAGAGGCCAACATTCGCTCGACGCCGGGCTCCGGACCCCTCCCGGGTTCCGCCCCTGCCCGTGTTCCGAGCCGCGTCCGGCCGTGGCGGCGAGGGGGGCCCCCGAGTGCCCGCAGGCGAGGCGAAGACTTCTGGGGCGCCGCCGAGGGACCGCATGGCCATCACCGCGCGCGGCGTCTTGAACAGGCTCTGCAGGCTGGGCGCGGAGTCGAAGATGGCCGCGTAGATGGCCTCTCCCGCCGCCTCGCGCGACTCCGCCGAGCGCAGAAACGTGTTCCACGTGGTCTGCACCTCCTCCGCCAGGCCCGGGGGCAGCCGCAGCTCCTCGGGCCAGCCGCCACCACCACCCGACACTGCCCAACGAGCCGGTGGGGATCTGGGGGGACCGCACGATCCTCGGGCCTTGGGCCGCTCTCCGAGGACGCCTCGGGCGACTGGGGCCTCGCTCGAAACTGTGCGGTGACGGACCGTGCGGAGTCCGACGTCGCCGTACGGTCCGTCGGGTGGCAGCGGCGATGCGACTCGAGCCGGCGGAGTGCTCGCAGCGGCCCGGCGCCCCTCTGGGGGACTCGGCAGGTGACCGGAGCGGGCTGCACCTCCTCCGCCTGGGCCTGGGGGGGCAGCCGCAGCTCAGCTCCTCGGGCTTGGGCTCGACACCCTTCGGCGCCGCGGCTCCACGAGCGGCGCCCGCGCGTGGGCGCACGGCGGAGCTGCGGTGGCACCGCCGCCCCGCGGAGCTGCGGACGCCGCCGCGCGGGGGTCCGCAGCCGGGCACGGGGCCAGCCGCGGCTCCTCGCGCCCTTCCCGAGCCCACGACGGCGGTGGGCCGCCCCGCGCGCGCCTGGCGGAGTGGCAGCGCGGGGGGGCCCCGCACCGCCCGCCCCGCCCGCAGCCCGCGCTCGGCCCCCACCGCGCGGCCGGGCCCGGCGGCCCTGCGAAGCCTCTCGGGGAGGACGGTGGGCCGGGGGGCAGGGCAGCCGAGCCGCCGCAGCCGCAGCTGCCGCGCCCCCACTGGGCGGCTCTCGGCTCTCGGCGCGCGCCCAGCGCCGCGCACAGCGCAGAGGTGTGTGCGTGTGTGTGTGTGTGTGTGTGTGTTGTGTGTTGCGTGTAGTGTGTGTGTTGTGTGTTGTGTGTGTGTGTGTGCTGTACAGTGTTATGCTGTGCTATGCTGTGTTGTGTCGTGTTGTGTTGTGTGTTGTGTGTTTTGTGTTGTGTTATGTGTGTGTATTGTGTTGTGTGTTGTTGTGTTGTGTTGTGTTGTGTTGTGTTTTGTGTGATGTGTGCTGTGTGTTTTGTGTTGTGTGTTGTGTTGTGTGTTGTGTGTTGTGTTGTGTGTGTTGTGTTGTGTTGTGTTGTGTTGTGTTGTGTTGTGTTGCGTGCGTATGTGCGTGTGTGTGTGTGTGTATGCGTGTGTGCGTTGTGTGCGTGTGTGTTGTGTGTGTGTGTGTGTGTTGCGTGCGTGCGTGTGGCGCGGGTTTTTTTCCCCGGCCCGGGCGAAGACCTGGGGCCCGAAAGGCGTCGGCATCTGGTAGCAGGCGGACGGGGTCGGAACCACACCAGGAGAATGAGGGAGGAGGACGGAGGAGGAAGACGAGGGAAAGGGGGAGGAGGAGGGGGAGGATGAGGAGATTGGGGAGGAGGAGGAGGAGGAGGAGGAGGAGGAGGAGAAGGAAGAGGAGGCGGAGGAGGGGGAGGAAGAGGAGGACGACGAGAAGGAATATGAAGAGGAGGAGGAGGAGAAGGAGGAGGAGGAGGAGGAGGAGGACTAGTGCAAACCCAAGACTCATCAACGATGTTGGGACACACCCCGAATCAACGTAACTGTTGCGCCCTGACAGTCCTGAGTAATTCCAAAAAAACAATTTCTAGTACGTGGACTACTAGATTCATTGGAATGCAAGTGTTTACGCGGTGCTGGGGCGAGAACTACATCTTGAAAACGAGCCGCCCTCAAAACGTGAAGCTGCGCATTTGTTAGGCGAATGCGCGCGGCGCTGAAGCGAGAACCACATTTTGAAAACGAATCGCCCTCAGTCCGTGAAACTCTTACAACTTGTTTAAACGATTGTGCACGGCGCTCGGGCGAGAACCACGTTTTCAAAACCACCCGCCCTCAATCCATCAAGCTTCTGCAACTGTTTGAATAGAATGTGCGCGGCGCTAAAGCGAGAGTCACATTTTGAAAACCACCCGCCCTCCATCTGTGAAACGGTTGCCAGTGTTTTAAGCCTCAGGCTCATAAGTGGTCAGATAGTCTCAGGCGAAACGCCCGGCCCGCCCTTCGGACTGGCTATGGGGTGCGATCACTTGCCGAACTTGAAGTGGTCAACTCCACTGCTCACGCAATCATCCCACCCACCCACCCGCAACTTGGTTTGCAAAACCCATGCGGGACCGAGCACAGATATCGCTCCGGGGTCGTCTTGGAGCCCTCGGGGGCGTCTCAAGAGCGCCCCAAGAAGGCCGGAGAAGCAAGACGGCCGACGACGACGACGACGACGACGACGACGGCGGCGACGACGACGACGCCGACGTCGACGACGACGAAGACGACGACGCCGACGCCGACGACGACGACGAAGACGACGACGACGTCGCCAACGAAGACGACGACGAGGGAGGAGGGAGGACGACGACGGCGACAACGACGACAACGACGACAACGACGACAACGAGGGAGGAGGGAGGACGGCGACGACGCGAACGACGAAGAAGGAGGAAGGACGGCGACGCCGACGACGACAACGACGAGGGAGGAGGGAAGACGACGACGAGACGACGACGACAACGACGACGACGACGGCGACGAAATAGGAGGGACGACGACGAGACGCCGACGACGGACGACGACGACGACGACGACGACGAGGGAGGAGGAGGAAGGACGACCACGGCGACAACGACGACGGAAACGACCACGACGCCAAAGAGGACGACGACGACGAACAAGAGGAAAGACGCAGGACGATGTAGGCGACGACGACGACGACGACGCGGGAGGAGGGAGGACGGCGACGACGACGACGACGACGACGACGACGCCGCAAGAGCGCGCGCGCACGATTTTGTTGAAAATCCGTGTTGCGAAACCTTTTGTTTTTGTAGGTTTTTTGGACGCGCGATTTTGACATCCTTCCGAAACCGATGGGTTTTGAAGGATTTCGGCGTACGCGCGCGACGACGCGCGCGTCTGCACTTCGCCCCAGTTTTTTGCAGAGGATTCTCGCGACGGCACACGCGCAAGGACGTTCGACAGATTTCGACATGCGCGCGCGCGACGCCCGTTTGGTAGCATGTTGTGAAAATCTTGGAAATCAATGGTTTTCTTAAGATTTCGCAAGAGCACGCGCGTAAGCTTTTTGCGACATCCTTCTGGCACCGAAGGTTTTCGAAGGATTTCGGCATGCGCGCGCGACGACGCGCGCGTGTGCACTTCGTCCCATTTTTTGCAAGGGATTCGTGAAAAAGTGCTATGTTAGAACAAAAAATGTCCCCGCATAGTGTTTTTAACAAGGGAACCTCAGGGGGGGGTAACGCCTGTTGGCCTGGGACATTGTAATTTCATGTTTAGGATGGACATGTGGTCATAATCATATGTGATTTACATACCCGAAAGGGGGGGGGCGATAACGCTGGGGGGGGGGGTAGAGTCTATTCTCTTTTTTTGAAAGGAGAATCAAGGAGGAAGTATTCATCTGGAAAGGGAACTTAGGACGAGGAGGAGGAGGCGGAGCAGTGTATACCCTCAGCGATGTTGAAGTATACCCTCAAGCTCCCTCCACATAGGCCCCATACAAGGATTCATTTTCACTGGAGGAAGTGCCCCGTAGGCGGGCACACGTGTGAAAATCTTGAAGCGCGCCAAAACACCATTCTCAGGACTTCAGCGCCACGAGTCGACCTCACCGTTGCGCCTTGACGACCCTGAATCATGCTAGAACGGCATTCCTGAAACTTCAACAGCGCGAATCAAGTGAAGTGTTGCGCCCTGTCAATCCTGATTCGTTCCAGAGCACCATTTCTGGTACGGTGGCCATGGGAGCCAATGGACAACTTCCAACCTGTTGAAACGAATGTGCGCGGCGCTAAGGCGAGAGCCACATATCGAAAAGGAGCCGCCCATCAGCCTGGCCCCAGAGTACGACAGGGAGGAGTTTTTTCCTACAGGCAACAAGGAAGGGTCTGAAGAGGAGGAGGAGGAGCAGCAGCAGGAGGAAGAAGAGGATGAGGATGAGGAGGAGAAGGAAGAGGAGGAGGAGGAGGGGGAGGAAGAGGAGGTCGAGGACGATAAGGAAGACGAGGAGGAGCAGGAGGGGGAGGAGAAGGAGAAAGAGGAGAAGGAGGAGGGAGAGGAAGAGGAGAGGCAGAACGAGGAGGAAGAGACGAAGGAGGAGGAGGAGGAGGCGGAAAAGGAGGTGGAGGAAAACGCGGACGACGAGAAGGAGGATGAGGAGAAGGAGAGGAGGAGGAGAAAGGGGAGAACGGAGGAGGAGGAAAAAGAGTAGGAGTAGGAGGAGCAGGAAGAGGAGGAGGAGGAGAAGGAGGAGGAGGATAAGGGGGAAGAGGAGGTGGAGGAGAAGGATGAGGAACAGGATACGGAGGAGGAGGAGGAACCCAAGGAAGAGGAGGAGGATGAGGAGGAACACGAGGAAGAGGAGTAGGAGTATGAGGAGGAAGAGTAGGAGGAGGAGGCGGAGAAGGATGAGGAGGAGGAGGAGGAGAAAGAGAAGGAGGAGGGGGGGAGATGAGGACGAGGACGCGGACGATGAGGACGAGGAGGAGGAGGAGGAGGACGAGGAGGAGGCATGCGAGGATGAGGAGGAATACGACGAGGAGGAGGAGGAGGAAAAGCATGAAGAGCCGAAAAGGCGAGAATACGGAGGAAGGCGAGGAGGAGGAGAAGGAGGAGGATAACGACGAGGCGGAGAAAGAGGAGCTGGTGCTGGAGCTGGAGGAGGGGGAGGCGAAGGAGGAAGATCATGAAGATGAGGAGGAAGGAGAGGAAGAGGAAGAGGAATCTGTTGAGGACGAGATGGAGGATGCAGGAGGGAGGAGCGAGCAGCGAGGGGGGAGGAATAGGAGAAGGGGGAATAGTCTGATGGAGAGGAGGAGGGGGAGGATAATGATGATGATGAGGAGGAAGCGGAGGAGGATATGGAGGAGGAGGAGAAGGAGGATGAGAAGGCGGAGGACGAGGATGAAACAGAGAAAGCGGAGGACGAGGAATAAGTGGAGGAGGGGGGAGGAGGAGGGAGCCAATGGGGCAGGGGCAGAAATACGAGGACGGTGACGAGGGTGCGGATGAGGAGGAGGAGGAGGAGGAGGATGAGGAGGAGGAGGAGGAGGAGGAGGAGGAGGGGAGGACAGATGAGGATGAGGAGCATGAGTAGGAGGAGGAATATAATGATGAGGAAGATGATAAGGATGAAGATGAAGGCGAACAAAAGGAGGCACGTACGGAGGAGGATGAGGAGGAGGAGGTGGGGCTGTAGCTGGAGCTGGATCTGCAGGAGAGTGAGGAGGATGAGACGGAGGATGAAGAGGAAGCTGAAGAGGAGGAGGAGGAGGAGGAGGAGGAGGATGAGTATGAGGAGGAGGATGCGGAGGATGGGGGAGGACGAGGAGGATGAGGAGGAGGAGGACGAGGAGGAGGCATACGCGGAAGACACTGCGGGAGGAGGTAAGAGGGAGGAGCGAGGACGGAGGAGCGAGACGAAGCAGAAGGAAGATAAGGAATGGGATGATGGGATGAGAAGGGGGAACGGGGAGGAGGAGAAGGAGGAGGAGAAGGAGGACGAGCAGGAGAACACGGCAGATAAGGATAGGAAAGGCGAGGAGGAGGAGGATGAGGCGGAGGGGGAAGAGGAGGTGGAGGAGGAGGTGGAGAAGGAGGAGAAGGAGGAATACGAGGACGGGAAGGAGGAGAAGGATGCTAATGAGGACGAAGAGGAGGAAGAGGAGGAAGGCAACGAGGAGGATGACACCGAGATGGAGGATGAGGATGAGGATGAGGAGGAGGAGGACGACAAGGCGGAGAGGGATACAGATGAGGACCAGAAGGCGGAGTAGGGGGAGAAGGGGGGTGAGGAGAACGAGTAAGAGGAGGAGGGCTAGGGGGAGAAAAAGAAGGAGGAGGAGGAAGGCGATACGGAGGAGGACGACGAGGAAGAAGACGAGGACGATAAGGAGTATGAGGGGGAGGAGGGGGAGGAGGAGGAGGAGGAGGAGGAAGATGGGGAAGAGGAGGAGGAGGAGGACGAGGACGAGGAGGAAGAGGCGGAGGAGGAAGAGGAGGAGGAGGAGGAGGAAGACGGGGAGGAGGATGAGGAGGAAGCGGAGGAGGAGGAGTTGGAGCTGGATCTGGAGGAGGAGTAGGAGGAAGAGTACGAGGGAGAGAACAAGGAAGAGGAAGGGTGTGAGGATGCTGACGAGGCTGAGGAGGAAGAGGCGGAGAAGAATGCGGGAGAAGGACTGAGGGAGGAGGGATGCTGGAGGCGGGATGAGGGAGGAAGTATGCGCGAGGAT